AAGCTTGAGGTTAAAGGAAGCAATTAAAGAGGGAACAGATATTTTAAAGAAAAGAGTCATTCTAATCACCAAACACTTTAACACCCAAAGCAGGTCTAACTAAGCACCTATTCACTCTGAACAGTCACAAACCGTGAACCTTGTAGGGGTTAGTAAAGGTCTGAGAGAATTAGTAGGGCAGAAAGGAAAAGGCAACTCTGTGCCCCCCCTTCTACCCTAGGGCCATTGCAGGTCTTTATCTTACATATTACCAGTAAAGCATGCCTTCTCCTCCATTCAGAGCCACCATGCCATAGGCTCATTTTGAATTGGTGAGCATTTAAAATAAGCTACTTTCCACAATCAAAGTGATGAGCAAAATAGGGCTGGGGAGGGAGGTATCTATCTAAACTGTAACTTCTGCAACAGAATTCCACCCCAGTGTTTTACTGGTATCATTAATATTTAACTTTGATATGAAAATGCCAGCACTTTAAAATATACAATGTTATTTAATTTTCATGTTTTCTCCTCACAAATGCTAACTCCCCAGACTATCATATCTAAATAAAAGATGAAAAAAAATAATAGAAACAATTGATTCCACACATTTATTTAAAAAATTAAAATACTAATCAATTCCAGTTTTTAGAAATAGTAAGGCCAGCTAGACTAAAATGACATTAATAAATTGGTCAGCCTTTCAGGAGCTTTTGTTAACATCCCAGGCATTCTGCTGCCACGTGAAATGATGTGATAGTCTTGAATTAAGAATCTCCCTTTTTCTTCGGGATGACATATATAGTGAACTGAGGCTGACATAAATAATGATCTTTGTTCTTTCAGCTTGATTCCTGGCGTTTGGTACTCTTATGCACCATTTATCTCTTTGGGAGAACCCTTTCCATAATACATGGAGAAAATAAGATCAAATTTTGCAGATCTTTAAGCTACACTGAGTGGCCAGATTATTATGATCTCTGAACACATAATAATCTGGCCACTCAGTGTACATATTATATAATAAAAGGTAATATGCAAATTGTCCCCTTGACCAGGAGTTCGACCAGCAGGCAGGCCAGCCAACTTGGCCCATGTCCCCTCCCCCTGGCCAGACTGGCCAAACCCTACCCATACATGAATTCATGCACTGGGCCTCTAATACACACACACACACACACACTCTGAGTGGCCAGATTATTATGCATTCAGAGATCATAGTAATCTGGCCACTCAGTGTTTAGCGAAGAACACATTTTTAATAACTTTTGTCAATATTGGACTGGGATATAGGAATCCTTGAAAACTAATCTTTTAAAAGAGTCTATTTGCCAAAAGGTTATTTACCATATTGTCACATTTAAGGGATAACTTTACTGCACTTTCCACCTTCCTTTCAGGAAACCAACAGAATATTTTAGGATATTATTGTACTTCTTTTTGGCATTCCCTCTGTTTGGAATCACCTCTAACCATTGCCGACACACTCACACCCTACCTATTCTTTTAAAAAAATATTTATTGTTGCGAGTATTACAGATGCCTCCCCATTTCCCCTTCATTGCCCCCCTATTCTTTAAGGCCTGGCTCAAATGCTACTGCTCCCCCATTCATCTAAATCAGTGGTTCTTAGCCAGTGGGAAATTTTCCTCCCCTAGGAGATATTTGCCCATGTCAGGAGATATTCCTGCTTGTCACAACTTGGGGGTGGGGGATGCTACTGCCATCTAATACAGAGATGCTGCTAAACATTCTACACCCACTGCAACAAAAATCCCTGAATGTTGAGAAACCAGCTTGAACTGGATGTCATCTCTCCTTTTCCTGGTCCCCCCAATACTATAATTTCTTTTATATCATTGAGATTCACAAAACACCCAACATTCTCAGCAAGAGTATAGATACCAAAACAGCCATCTATCAATTATTCACACCAACACTGAGGAGCTAGTAAAAGCTTCTCTGATGCAGTTGGTAAAAGTGAAACAGGCCACAACACTGACCTGGGCTTCTATTACAATGCTGTTGTCCAGTAAAAGAGGTCCTTCAGTGCACTTGATGGCAGGCTCCTTGGGTTAGTAAGGAAACCAGCCATGAAAGCACTACTTAAAGAATCTGGCTCTGAATCCAAACTTACACTAAGATTACTGCCAGTGGGAGGTTGAAAGGTGAGGAAACAATCCTGAAAGCCATGCAGATAACAGGTGTTGGGCAAGAGAGTGGTGACCCAAACTGAAAGGTGGTAAGAAATAAATGTGAGGAATTATCAGAAGCAATTCATAGAGCATTGATTTTCCCTTTCAACCATCATGTACTTCTGACTTAACTCAAGTCTTACTATTTCTAACGTGGACAAGGTATTCTTCTTAATATTAAGGATAGCATTTCTCAAATCACCTTTACTTGTCAAAGTTGGATATTCAATCCAGATTTGGGACTGACATACTTCAAAGTTTCATGACTCAAGCTACAGGATTGAGAATTTTTTTTAGGTAAATAGTGAGCAAGAAGTACAACCACAAATTTTCTAGACCTCAGATTACAGATTTCAATACATATCAGTTCAATCTTATTTGACGGAATATGAAAAATTACATATAATGTGCTGTTCTAAAAGATTTTGATCATGGATTCCCTTTAATATTTTCAGAAATTCAGCTGGTTAGATGTTTTATTTTGTGGTTCACTCTTTCAACAGTGTATTCTGCTTACAAAAATGAAAACCAAACAAAAAACTACACAGGCAACTTGAGCCATTATTAAAAATGAGCAATTATTAATATCAATATTTTCTGATTTTAGTATATTAGTTAACAAAATATGTAAACAGACTTGGTTTGAAATATAAAAAAGATATTTAATCATTCCTGTAGGTAACCAAATGAATTAAAAGTAATTTGGTCGCAAAAGTTACAAAATAAAATAAATTCAGGAAACCTACTTGGGTTCCCTCCCTGCTAAAGGGAGTGTATTTATCTCTCAATACACTTCGCTTTCACTTAAAAACTAATAATAAACTAAAATAAACTCAGTAATAATCCACAATAAGACTTAAAAATCACTTTAGAAATTGCCCATTTGCTGATTTGACTGAGACCAATTTTATTCTGTTTATTTTCTATAGCTGTCTATAATAATGGTAGAAGAAAATTGGGAATACTTTTGAGAACTGGTTGATTTTTTTTTAATGATAAAACTAAAACATGTACGCTTTTGTCATTTGCCCAGTTAAAAGCGTCAGGAAGAGAAATAGAACATACTGGTGAAGATATAATCACTATACAGAACTTGTTCAAACTTGAAGCTGGCTTATAGTTTAAGACGAGAGATTATAGAAACAAGAACATGAGTCTCAATCACCTATATATGCTTGTTACTGCCTCAAAAGACTATACTGTAAGTGCAATACTATCAGCAAAACATGCTAGACTACAGTCTGAACAGTGATTTTATATAGGTATAAGAAAATAAATGAGTTTCCATCAAATTCTGGTATGCTGGAAAGTTGATGAGTGAAATCATTTTGAATAAAACACTGTTGTCATCCTTCCTTTTCAAAGATGATACTACCTGACAGGAGCTCTTGTCTGAAAAGATGAGCTAGGGGCCATTAGTTAGTCTTTTGTCCAGGGAGTACATGAAGCCAGACCTTTGATTAGAAATCATCACTGCAATATGAAACGCCTGTTGCCATTTGTAGCATTGCCTTCTAGACTTGAGGTCAGTCTTGGCTCAAAATAATCAGTTCTATTCCTAATGTTGTCGGGCTAGTCTGGCATTTGCTGTGATTTCTCAGTCATCCAGACTATTGGTTGTTTTATCACATTATCTAAATGTTACTGAGTTTATTTGCCCATTTTTTATGTCTAGATTTAAAAATCATGATATGAATAAATAATCTAATTTTATATTATACATTGAGTGGCCAGATTGTTATGATCTCTGAACGCATAATCTGGCCATTCAGTGTATATACTATATAATAAAAGGCTAATATGCAAATGGTCCCCTCGACCAGTAGTTCGACCAGCAGGCAGGCCAGCCAACTTGGCCATGTCCCCTCCCCCTGGCCAGACTGGCCAAACCCCACCCATAAATGAATTCATGCACTGGGCCTCTAATACACACACACACACACACACACACACACACACACACACACACTGAGTGGCCAGATTATAATAATCTGAGATCATAATAATCTGGCCACTCAGTGTACATCAACTTTTCCAAAAACTCATTCATTTGAAAATTTTTTAAGTCATTATTTAACTCAATGATGTTTCAAGGTTTTGTTATTATTCAGTTTATTATTCATTAAAATTAATAAGAACATTCACTAGGCTTAGAACTGTTACTTCTAACACATCACAGATGATTGTGCCAGATTCTCATTTGAACTATATATTCATGATGAAGTCAAGGTACACTGTGCCACTATAATTTGTTATTATCAGAAGTGACTTAAGTCGCTCAAGTGCCAGGTACGGAAGATGAACTTGATTAAGTAATCATTCTGTTAAATCAAGCATTTGGGTGATTAGTAAATTGATGATTTCAATTATAGCAGCTCTCTAGTCAAGCATAGGAAAGTATAGAGAACAAAACTAATCATCTTCTAAAATTATTACCGGATGCTCTCTTGTGGATTTTGGATGCTAAATCACCAAAACACTGAAAAGGTGTATTATCCTTTAATTCACTCCACCCCATAGGAATGCTATCAATCAAGCAGAAAGGAACAGTACCTCACTTGAAAAAAATAAATCTTCTGATGGCAGTACAAGCAATTTCTTACCTTTGTTTCCCTTATCTGTATTTTTCAGGCATTCAGCATTGAATGTTGACTATTTTGTGCAAAGGGAAATATTACTTTAAAAATAAAGAAATTGAAGGTAGCACAATGTGTTTCAATGTTAACCGGCTTTGTTATATATGATCAAAAACAAAACACTCTCTGGTTCATAAGATTCCATCGATGACTAACCTGCTCGGTATGGCCATGATTGAGGTTATCTTTTTTACTGGACAACACAAGTTGTACAACACTGATCTTGCTTCTCGGGCAGGGATGAATAGTTCATTTGCCTGACGATCTCAGCAAAAAGTTCATCCACCATTGATTTACTTTTTGCCGATGTCTCCATGAAAGGACAGCCCCATTCTTGAGCCAGAGCTCTGCCTTCTGAAGACATAACCTCTCTTTCTGGTTCCAGATCCACTTTATTTCCTACTAGGATTAGCGGGACTTTTTCATATCTCTTCACTCTGACAATCTGATCTCTCATTGGCTTGATATCCTATTCAAACAATCACAAAAAGAAAAAAAAAATTATGCTGTTTGCATAACCAAAACAGAAGTATTGATTGCTATCTCCTAAGAGCTCACACCTCGGCGAGTAAAGAAAGCTGAATCCAAAATAAAACCACGCACCCAAATAGAGAAAATGTCATTTTCTACAGTAAAGTTGGAACTTGATTATTTCCACAGATTCTACCTGATGGATTTCTGTCAAGAATATAAAATGTAGGTTACACACTAACTTTAGGATTCACTTAATCACTTCTTTGCCACAGTTTGTACTGATTTAAAAAGTTCCCAAATATGATGAATCCATTCATACATAAAAGTGTTTGCCCATCTCCTTAAACCTGCCAGCTTGTCATCACTCCTCCTAACACTTGATATCCTAGCACAGGATTGTAGCATCTATGCATTCCTAGCCATTTAGTAAGAGCACTTGAGAGAAAAGTGTTTAAGGTGGAAAAACACTGTGTTATGCCTAGAAGAAAGTTAAAAATAGATTCCTGCACTTATAGGTTTCATTTTAAATTTAATGGTATATTTTATGTCAGTAAAATTAAATACTTAAAAATATGTTAAATATAATGGAAACTATTGTAACAATGAGCAGCTCCTGGGATGGACAGGCAGGTGAGAGTCTGGGTGAAAAAAAGTCACACTTTTCTTTGCCTATATTTGGGTTTACAACTTGAATTTCCCCCCAAGTCTATTTTTTTCTAAGTAATTACAACTAATCACAAAAGATAAGAGCTTTAGCAATTCTCCAATAACATCAACTTGGAGGGGAGGTATTGATTAAAGACAATATCATAGATTTTATACTAACATTACACTTTTTTATTTTTCATAACTTAAAAGTTTTAATTTAAATATAAATATGTGATTAATTTAAATAGTTACAGTAAATAGAATATTCACAGGTAGGATGAAGAAAAAAAGAAGGGGCTGTAAAATTTTACAAAAAACTTAGTTATTTGATATTTGCAACAATTTTATATGATCACTTATCAATTCAATCTCCTAGGTTAAGTTGCTTTTCCCCTGCATCTTCATGGAAACTCAAATTCAGCTGAGAATCCAATTTTATGGCATTTAGGTTTAAAAGCGTTTAAGTCTCTGTTGAAATAATGGCAGATTTTTCACTCCATATTTATGGCTATAACAGAAGTAGATATAATTGAAATCTTATGAAAAACCCTTCAAAAGATTTCCAGCCTCAAGGAGTCAGCTAATAGAATAACAAATTTCCCAAGATCCTTCATAAAGAAAATGCCTGCCAAACAGCACCTTTAGTACTTCTGGGGGGAAATGCTGTTATAATATTCTTGCTTTGGAATTTAAGCCTACATAAGATGGACCTGAGTTTGGTCAATATAATTTTTATTCATTCACCCAGAATTATTATCTTTAAAAGAAAAAAATCCTTAAGTGCTATATCTGGTTACTGAAAAAGTTCACTATAGTACTTTAAAATACTAAGAAAAGTGGAATTAGCACATTGCCTTGACTAAACTACTTAATGTCTCTTAAGTAAGGAGCATTAACTGAATACCATTAAATGTAGAAAAATATCAAATTCCTAAATCAATGGAGGTCAATATAATGGGTCAATAGGAGGTTATTTTCAAGGAATAAATAGCAACATTTATTGCATCTCTTAAAATAATGTTAAACCTTCGGTCTGTCTCCTTATGGAGGACAGGACAGATTTTCCGAGGAAACTGGACCATCTCCAGTTTGGCCACCCAGGCGGGATTATAAATCTGCATTTGTTCAACGTTCCCAGATCCCTGTATTTTTGATAAATATAGTCAGTGTTATCAGAAACACTTTGGATAACTGGAGAAAAGAAGGAGCTTTCTACATTTGCAATTAGTAATTTTCCCTTCACATGCCCCAAGTAAGTAAAATGCCTAGAAGGCAGGTCTCGAGTTCGTCTTGCAGCACTAAGATTTATGAAGCTGGCTGAGAAACTTGGGTGAGCCCAGAAAGGGGTGGGGGAAAGCAATCACAAAGCAATTACATATGCAACAGATATTAGGCTCCAAATAATTTTCCTTCCAAGATGATGTATTTACCCGAGATTATTTGCTAACGTTCTGTTGAGTATACTAATTAATACTTGTTGAACTGAACAATCAACTTCATAAAGTTACATTCCAAACTAAATACACACGGAATGACATTTCTTTTTCACTTTCCTTTGGCTTTAAAAAAAAGTTTAAAATATTTGTTGACAGTTGTTATTTTACTCCTCTCTATGGAAACAACCCAATACTTTTTCACGCCAGGGGTAACCTCAAGAATGCGCCATGTCTAACTTTCAGAAGCAAAACATAGTCATTAGCGGGAGGCTCGCGCAAACCAGAAGTAAAAGCAGGCTCACCACACCCCCTCGGAACAAATGACAAAACTTCGCCCGGTTACCTGAAAAGACTGTTGATTCACGAGACTGTACACCAGGATGAAACCTTGACCGTTTTTGATGTAAAGATCTCTCATGGAGGCAAACTGCTCGGTCCCTGCGGTGTCCAGGATCTCCAGCACCGACGGCGATGAGTCCACTTCGATCTCTTTGCGGTAGAAATCTTCAATGGTGGGGTCATATTTCTCAATGAAAGTCCCGGTGACAAACTGCACAGTCAGGGCAGATTTGCCAACCCCTCCGCTCCCTAACACCACCACCTTGTATTCCCTCATGAGTCTCCCCTAAACCCACTCGCCCACGAGGGAGGAGAAAGAGCGCCCCGCTAGCTGCAGCGCGGCCGGGGAGGCGGAAGATGGGCGGAAATCTGCGATCTGGGGAGGAGAGAGCCGAGGAGCGGAGGGCCCCGAAGGGGAAAGAAGAGGAAGTTAAAGGCGGGGGGAGGGGAAAGAGCAAGAGCTAAGTGTCGGGGTGGGTGGGGAGGAGATGGTAAACAGGGGGCGTGGGGAGCAGAAACGCGCCCCTCGAGGCCAGGGCTGGGGGCTGCGGATCGGGCGCCCCAGGGGCAGGCGGGTGCAGGAGGAGCCCGCAGCCACCGGCTGCCCCCACCCCTCCCCCGCCCTTCACACAAAGGGGCCCGGGGACCCCGCTTCCTGCTCTCGGGCCTATGGGCTCTCAGCTCCCTTCGCTGCCGCCGGGCGGGTCTCAGGGCCGCGGCTCCCGCGGGCGTTGTCCGGCCTGGGATGGGAGAAAGGGGTGCGCATTACCAGCCTGGCCTCCCGGCCCCAAACCAGCAGCCTCCCCAGCACCCCTTATCCCCCCCGGGCCGGCTGTCTCGGCCAACGCAGCCTTCGCCGCTTACCCCACTGTCTGCACCCGCCTGGCCGCCCGGGAGGCTCTAGGAAGCCAAGGCCATGGCTACGGGCCGGCCCCTCCGGATCGCTGCCGCCCGGCGCTGCCGTTCGCAGGGGGGAGGGGGGCGGGTGCCGTCCCGGAGGCAACGGCCCACAGAGACTCCGGGCAAACCCACCTCTTTTTTTTTCCTCCCCTACCCCCCACCCCCCACCCCCAGCACACACCCGGAAGGGTTTCCCTGTCACACGAGCTCGAGGTGCCCCAGTTCCCCGAGTCGGGGCAGGATCACTTCCGGTGGGGAAAGTCCCACCTCTCCGGAGCGAGGCCCCTGGCGCTCCGGCCGCGCCCTGCCAAGCCAGACGGCCGGGGAGTGTTTGTGGGCCGCGCCGTGGCCTTGGCCTTGGCCTTGGCCAAGGGCCTCTTTGAGGACCTCCCGCGCCCTTGCTTTCGCGCCAGCCCGCAGCTGCCGATCCTGCTACTGCTGCTGCCAGTCCCACCCCAAAGCCATGGAAGCCCCTCCTCGTCTCAGCTGCCCTCAGCTCCGCCTGAGTACTTGCTGAGCTCGCTGGCCTGCACCGGACAGCCAATAATTACCTAACGACGGGAGAACCCCAAACATCCCTGGGCTAGAAGTGGCGAGGGAAATAAAACAGCCAAGAAAGTTTACTCTCTTTGCTGGTATCTCTTTCAAATGATAGTTTGTTTCTAAGAAATGCATGCAGATGACTCCCAGACTTCTGATTCCCTGTGTCGTGTGTTTGACTTAGCTGAGCCTGACAAATAATTAAATACACAGTACTTTTTAATTAAATACACAGTACTTTTCTCCTCTGACAAATCTGACTTGGCTCTACCAGCAACTGCCAAAATCACTCCTCTTTCTTGTCACCAGGCTCAGAAAACAAAAAGGAATGCAAATAGACTTCACAGGTATTCCAACTCAGTTTTGTTTCTCTTTGATTCGAACAGCTACACAGCAGGAAAGGTAAACACTATTCAGGGAAAATTTGATTGGAAGTTGTTTATTCCTGCAGATTAGCAACTTTGATTCTTTCATTATCTGCATGCACAGCAATTTGTATGGCTGGGTTTCCCTCGTTAAAGTTTTTAACAGCCAACCTTCACAGTCATTGAAATTCCAAAGGGAAGGTCTCTTATGTTAAACACTAACTTTCTATTTTTAGATAAAATTGGTGTTTCTTACTATTTGTAAACGTTGTGTCAGATCCACGGGCCCAGAAAGCTAGGTTATATTTTAGGGATGTCACTCCCTCTTTGATTCTGGCACGCACCCAGAAACCTGTGAGACTTCATGGGCACTCTTGTTAAATTGGCTCCAAATTCCTTGCCTCCAAGCCCTAATGGTCAGAATGCATACATAAAAATATTACTTAATTCAAATTTTTAGATAACAGAAAACAAGTAAATCACAGTAGTGTAAAGAAGTTCTACTGTGTTTCTCCCTGAGTATTCCCCAAAGTCACTTACAGTATCCAAAGGACAGTTTAGTTCAATTTCTCTTCAGCCTAGGGCTGGTGCAATCAGTCCAGTGAAGTCCTCAGCTCTGGTTCCAGCTGGCCCGGATCTCTCCTGATATCTGAGACACTGCCCTCTGCTGGAAGAGGTTTGGCCTTATGAGTTTCCCCATAGGCCACTGCTCCTTCCACATGTGCTGTTGCCTGATTTGGAGCTCTGCTGCCCATCTCCTTGTGGAGCTGTCTCCAGACTGTCTGGTGGAATCCACAGCGCTGTACCAGCCCTGCTTGTAACTGAGTATAGAAATTCCTCTTCTGATCCAGCAATCAGCGTTGAGCAGTCTGGCAACTTACTGCACTGTTACTAACTTGCCAGAAGAGGCTGTCTTTTTTTTTTTTTTTTTTTGAGGTCATCCCACCTGTTGGCAACTGTAATAGCTCTAACTGTGTTGGCCAGAGTGTTTTTGAGAGAGTTCTTTGTTTCTCCACGCAGTAAACCACTCTTCCTCTCAGGACAGAGTCCCAGTAGGTTGCTCTCAGCAACTACAGGGTTGATAAATGTCATGCTCAGTCTGAAGATCCTTCTAAACTTTCTTAAGAGGGGAGGGGTGGATTCATTACAACAGCATATGGGAAAGCAAACAACTGAAAGTAATTTAAATGTCCTCCAATAGATGATCAAAAGTAATTGTGTGTGTGTGTGTGTGTGTATGTGTGTTCACATTCACAAATTGGGAAACCATGCAGCTGTTAAAAAAGCGAAGTGCCAATAGTCCTAAGCACCAAAAGGTTGTCACTTCAGTTCCTGATCAGGACATATAGGCATATAACTGTGTTATAGGTTAGATTCCCCAGTTTGGGGCATGTAGGGAAGGCAACTGATGGATGTCTCTCTCTCTCTCTCTCTCTCTCTCTCTCTCTCTCTCTCTCTCTCTCTCTCATTTATCTCTTCCCTGTCCTTCCCTCTCTCCCCCTTTCCTCTATCTAATAAGGCTGAAAAAAGCAAGCTACTGAACAAATATATAACTGATCCCATTCATGTAAAATATGTATGAGTGTGTGCAATATATAGTTCTATAGCCATTAAAATCTGAAACAGTCATTAATTATTGGTGAGGGTATTATGAAATGATTTATATTCTTTCACATTATTTTAAGTTTTAAACAATAATCAGGAATTACTGAGAAAGGGGAATAAATATATTTTTATAATATATTTTTAAGGAGAAACAGAAGAAAGTTGTTAAAAAAAAATCCAATATCCTGACAATTTAGGGGTCAGTGCACAGGTCTACCCAATTTAAACTAACTCCTTCCCTATGTTTCTCCTGCCCTCCCCAAATATCTCTAAACTTAAAGTATTTTCACATACATTGTCTCATTACATTCCACTTGTTCACCAGTTTAATTTGTTAGGCAAATAAGAGCGTAAAGGCCAATTAGAAGAGTACTGCTTGGCAATTGAAAGCCAAGGTCTCTGAACTAAGGCGGACAGGCATTTAAATAGTAGTTCCCTCACCTCCTAGCTGTGAGGACCACAAGCAAGTGATTTCACCCATCCGAGCCTCTAACTCCTCATCTGTCAAAAGGAGCTAATCATTCAATGTGAGAATATAAGAAAATATTATATATAAAATGTTTAGCATAGCCTCTTGCTCATTATAAACCTTTAATAAATGGTTTTTAAAAACTTTAATAACATGTTATTTGTAAAAAAAAAAAAAATCAGTAGACATAGAGAGGCAAACAAAACTCAAAAAGTTATAGTAGCTCCATGCTTGGCCAGTGTGGCTCAATTGGTGGAGTATAGTTCTAGGCACCAAAAGGTTGTCACTTCAGTTTCTGATCAGGGCACATAACTGTGTTATAGGTTATCTATTTGTCATTATAAAAATTATTCTTTGAAAAAAAAGTAAGGTGTGATCCCACTAACCAAAGAAAATCACCATTATATTTCAGTGCTTTTCACAAAATTTTACTCTGAGAGTGAAAATATGTTTTTCAGTGAGAATGGGGTCATACAGTTTTGCAAGCTGCAGCTTTCGCTTTCAGAAATTTCATGCCTGCACAGAGTATTAAACATACTTATAGCCTGAGTATGCCTTCTTCCACATAGCTTTAGCTTTCCTACAACTCCAATTAACATTCATTCACATTCAACCCCGCCCACCTGGAATCTTCATTCAACCAATGGGATTTCATGGCAAGGTCTGCTTACCACAGAGGCCACTGCTACCCAAGCCTGGTCAAGCAAACATTCCTAGAGAGACACAAGGCTCTTATTTTCTAGATGTGTCAGCTGAAAGAGTTAGTTCTTTGGAACTCAGTGAGCTACTAAATAGAGTGTATCTAAAACAGGTCTGAACTCCTTAATCATTTTTCCTCTCCATTTCATCTGTAATTTCAAAGATAGGAAAGCATTTTGTAATCTATGAAGTACTACTAAATTTAAGAGATCAGTATTAATTACTATATTTTGTTGTTATTTCTGTATGTTTATTGGCAATTTAAATCTGTTGTATAACCATACTCTTAATTTATGGGCATCTGAATTGCCTGGAAATGTTGTTAAAGTACAGATGACTAGGCCTTGCCCCCCAGAATTCCTGATTCTGAGGCAGGGCCAAAAATTCACATTTTTAAGTTTTCAGATAACACTGCTGCTGGTCCAGGGACACCACTGTAAGCACCACTGTTCTATATATATATATATATATATATATATATATATATATATATATATATATATAGTGGTAGGGCTTTATATTTGGATCTTCCCTGCTTAATATTCATTAATTTATCAACTCACTCAATCATTGATTCAGTACCCATTGACTGACTTTCTACTCCAGACCAAGTGCTTTGCTAGATAGGGGAATGGAAAGATGGATGAGACACAGTGCCCGAAGAAGTTCATGGCCTTTTGAGGAACGCAGACAATTAAA